TTTTGTTAGGATTTTGATGGGGATTGTGTTGAATTTATAGACTGCCTTTGGTAGAATTGCCATTTTTAATATGTGGATCCTACATGGGAGATCCTTCCATTTTCTCATGTCCTCTTCAGTTTTTTTCTTCAATGCCTTAAAGTTCTTGTCAAATCGATCTTACACTTCCTTGGTTAGGGTTTCCCCAAGACAATTTTTGCAATTTGTGGCTATCATAAAAGGTGAAGTTTCTCTAACTTCCCTCTCTGCTTCTCTAACCTTTGTGTATTGAAGGGTTACTGATCTTTTAGAGTTGATCTTGTAACCTACCACATCACTGAAGGTATTTATTAGCTGTAGGATTTCTTTTTTAGAGTTTTTGGGGTCACTAATATATACTATCATATTGTCTGCAAATAATAAAAGTTTGACTTCTTCCTTTCCGATTTGAATCCCCTTGATCCCCTTATGTTTTCTTATTGCTATTGCTCGAACTTCAAGTACTATGTTGAAGAGATATGGTGAGAGTGGACAGTCTTGCTTTTTCCTGATTTTAGTGGAATGGCTTTGATTTTCTCTCCATTTAATTTGATATTTGCTGTTGACATGCTATATATTGCTATTATCATATTTAGGTATGATCCTTGTATCCCTCTCCAAGACCTTTATCATAAAGGGATGTTGAATTTTGTCAAATGCTTTTTCAGCATCTAATGAAATGATAATATGGCTTTTTTCTTTCAGTTTATTTATATGATGGATTACATTGATAGATTTTTGTATGTTGAACCAGCCTTGCATCTCTGGAATAAAGTCTACTTGATTGTAATGGATAATTTTGTTTGGATTTGTTCTTGGATTCTGTTTGCAAGAATTTCATTGAGAATTTTGGCAATGATGTTCATGACTCAGATTGGTCTGTAAATCTCTTTCTTGGTTGAGTTTTTGTGTGGTTTTGGAATCAGGGTGACTGTAGCTTCATAAAGAGTTTGGCAATGTCTCTTCTGTTTCTATTATGTGAAACACTTTAAGGAGTATAGATATCAGCTCTTCTTGGAAGTTCTGATAAATTTCTGCATTAAAACCATCAGGTCCTGGGCTTTTTCTGGTTGGGAGTTTTTTTTTATGACAGCTTCAATTCCTTGCGACTTATAGGTCTATTTAAATTGTTCACCTGGTCGTGATTTAATTTTGGTAAATGGTATTTGTTTAAAAACAAGTCCATTTCTTTTACATTTTCCAACTTTGTGGCATATAAGCTTTAGTAGTAAGACCTAATGTTTCTCTGGATTTCTTCAGTGTCTGTTGTTATGTCCCCCTTTTCATTTCTGATCTTGTTAATTTGTGTGTTCTCTCTCTGCCTTTTAATTAGTTTGGATAAAGGCTTGTCAATCTTTTTGACTTTCTCAAAGAACCAGCTCTTTGTTTCATTGATTCTTTGGATTGTTTTCTGTGTTTCTATTTTGTTGATTTCAGTCCTCAGTCTGATTATTTCCAGTCTTCTACTCCTCCTGGGTGAGTCTGCTTCTTTCTTTTCTAGAGCTTTCAGCTGTGCTTTTAAGGCTCTAACATGAGCTTTCTCCATTTTGTTAATGTGGGCACTTAAAGCTATGAACTTTCCTCTTAGCACTGCTTTCATTGTGTCCCATTGGTTTGGGTATATTGTGTCTTTATTTTCATTGAATTCAAGGAAGACTTGAATTTATTTCTTTACTTCTTCCCTGATCCAGGGGTGGTTCAGTAGTTGACTGTTCAGTTTCCATGAGTTTGTAGACTTTCTGTGGGTAGAATTATTGTTATATTCTAACTTTATTCCATGGTGATTCAATAGGAAACAGGTGGTTACTCATTTTTTTTTTGTATCTGTGAAAGTTTGCTTTGTTACCGAGCATGTGGTCAATTTTCGAGAAGGTTCCATGAAATGCTGAGAAGAAGGTATATTCTTTCCTGTTTCGGTCGAATGTTCTATAGATATCTGTTAAGTACATTAGATTCATTACCTACAATAGTTCTCGTATTTCTCTGTTAGATTGCTGTCTGATTGACCTGTCCATTGTTGAAAAAAGACTGTTGATGTCTCCTACTATTAGTGTGTGGGGTTTGATGTGTGCCTTGAGTTCAAGTAATGTTTCTTTTAAATATGTGGGTGCTTTTATATTAGGGGTATAGATATTCAGGTTTGAGACTTCATCCTGATGAATTGTTCCTCTTATGAGTATAAAGTGTCCATCCCCATCTCTTCTGATTGATTGTAGTTTGAAGTCAATTTTGTTATATATTAGTATAGCCACACCTGCTTGTTTCTTAGGTCCATTTGATTGAAAAACCTTTTCACAACCCTTTACTCTGAATAGATGTCTGTCTTTGTGTTTGAGGTATGTTTCTTGTAAACAACAGAATGCTGGATCTTGGTTTTGCATACCATCTCTTAATCTGTGCCTTTTTATAGGCAAATTGAGTCCATTGATATTAAGTGATATTAATGACCAGTGGTTTTTAACTCCAGTTATTTTTATTTATTTATTTTGGTGGTAGAGTTTGTGTCTGTCCCTTCTTTGAGTTGTGCTGGTGAAGGGTTGTTAGATGTCTCAGTTATTGTGGGCATTGTTGGGTTCCTTAGGTTGTGATTTTCCTTCTATTACTTTCTGTAAGGCTAGATTTGTGGCTATGTATTGTTTAAATTTGTTTTTATCCTGGAATATCTTGTTTTCTCCATTGATGGTGAATGAAAGCTTGGCTGGGTATAGTAGTCTTTGCTTGCATCCATGATCTCTTAGTTCTTGCAGCACATTTATCCAAGACCTTCTGCCTTTCATGGTTTCCATAGAGAAGTCAGGTATAATTCTGATAGATTTACCTTTATATGTTACTTGACCTTTTTCCTTTGCAGTTATTAATATTCTTTCTTTATTCTGTATGTTTTGCGTTTTGATATAATATGGCAAGGGGATTTTTTTTTATCCAGTCTATCTGTATGCTTCTTATACCTTCATAGAAGTATTCTTCTCTAGGTTGGGAAAGTTTTCTTCTATAATTTTGTTGAATACATTTTCTGGGCCTTGAGCTGTAATTCTTCTCCTTCTTCTACCCCTATTTTTCTTTGGTTTGGTCTTTTTATGGTGTACCAGATTTCTCTGGATGTTTTGTGATGAGAATTTGTTGGATTTGCTGTTTTCTTTGATCAGTGCATTTATTTTCTCTATAGTTTCTTCAGCATCTGAGATTCTTTCTTCTATCTCTTGTATTCTTTTGATTATGCTTGTCTATGTAGGCCCTATTCATTTACCCAGATTTTCCATATCCAGTTGTCCCTCGGTTTGTGTTTTCTTCATTGCCTCCATTTCAGTTTTGAAGTCTTGAACTGTTTCCTTTATCTGTTTGATTGTTTTTTCTTAGTATTCTAGGGTATCTTTTAGGAATTTATTCTTTTCTTCAAGTTTTTTGTTATTCTTCTCATCCATTTCTTTAAGGGAGTTTTTCACATCCTGTTTAAGGGACTCTATCACTTTCATAATGTCTATTTCTTCTACTTCTTCTGGATTAGGATGTTCAAGTTTTCCTGTTGTGTATTCGCTGGGTTCTAGTGTTATCATGTTGTTTTTCAGATTGTTGGAGGAATTCTTGCATTGGCGCCTGCCCATCTCTTCCTTCAAATGCTCTCTGATGGATCTTCTGGTACCGGATCAGGCCCTCTTGCTGGCCAGGGATCTCACAGACAAAACGCGGGCTTGCTGTGTGCAGGCTCAGGGAAACAAAGGAACTCCTGCACAGTTGCACTCACCACTCTGTTCCCAGACCCTCAGCTCCAAAGCAGGCTGAATTTGGGGGATCTTATGACCCCGCAGAAGGGAAGGGGTGCTTCAGAGCAAGCTGGGATGGGATAAGAAGGGAGAGGCAATAGCCGGGGAGAGAAGCCCCTGCTGAATTACCCGAAAGTTTAGGGGGTTGAAGGGTGTTTGTGCTCCTTTTCCAGGGCGTCCACAGGCAGGTCTGGAACACACTCACCTTGCCGATGGATCTTCTGGTACGATAGCAAATATTTTTAAAAAAATAAATGAATAAATATAAACCAGCATTTTTTCCCTACAGTGTTACATTCTCAAAAATGCTATCATATAAAATTTTGGTGCATATGTGTTTGTAGAAGTGATGACATGAATCATTTAAATCTCTGAATGACATATTTCCCTATGTGAGCTAACATCCATACACTTTTATTCACTTTGCTATTCAGTAGAAATACATTGCTGTGGTGAATATTAACTTTTCTTTTAGTCATAGTAGGGAATTAACTGATTTTCTTTTCAGTTAAAAAGATTTTACTAACTTACTCTACAAATGTCTCCATTTTAATTTGCATACCTGGAAAGCACTCAGAACAAGGATCTGAACAAACAATTATCAGTTCCCTCTAGTGTTTCAGCCAACACATTTGTACTCACATGCTAGCTCTGTTTCCTTTAGCATCAGCCAGAATGACCCTTGATTACCATCAGCACCGTGAGAAACAGGGCAAAATTCAATATGGTTCCTATACTTTCTAATTAAGTGGATTTTATTTCTTCTTTTCCCCCTCACACTGAGAATTTCTTTTTGCAGTTTTGCTCATGATTTTGTATAAACATTCTACTCTCAAGTTAATTTAATAAGTATGCCCAAGTATGTATATGTACCCACAGTGTATGTTCAATGTTAGTGTAAATTTATTTACTCAAGCAAAAAAATATATCAATGGACACTGAGTCAGACCAATTTCGTCAGATTTCATACTGGTATCATAGCAAAGCTCCTTTCCTATATCACAAAAGTTCAGAGTCTGGTTAAATTCTAACATTCAGAACAAGAATCTTGTTGCTTTCTGAAAATAAACTGACAAATTATAAATAACTTGTCTGAATACTAAACAAGGGTAAAATAAATACTTGCAACAAAATTTTTCAAGAGTATTCTTTGAATAATTCCATTTGTTTCAAAGAATGTTTAGCCATCTTACTAACACTCAACCATTTGTGTTTGTGAAGGCTGTTTGATTATCATGGGCGTGTGCCTCCACCTCCTCGAGCTGTCATCCCCCTGAAGCGTCCCAGAGTGGCTGTCACCACCACACGTAGGGGAAAAGGCGTCTTTTCCATGAAAGGGGGTTCCAGATCTACTGTTGGTGGGTCATCTTCATCAGGCTCTAAGTGTAAGTAATGCTCCCTGTTTTATTTCTCTGCAAATAAAAATAGAAATAGTCATCATTAATAAAGCCCTTTAGTCAATGGCAACTATTAATATAAAAAAGAAATGATTATCTATTATTGAATTCTAACACATTGTACTAAGGTAGACAGACAAGAAAAAGGTAGCCCAGAACTTATTTTAATAGAGTTTTATCACAGTAAATTGCATTGAACTTCCAGCCTAGTTGATCTGTGATAGAGAAACGGATAAAAACAGAACACATTGTTTTTAATGAGGAAGCACTGTCACTTTAAAAGGATACATAGTCTTTCCTTTCGAAGAAACATGAGTAAAATGTGCTTTTAATATTTTAGAATTAGGATAATCAAGATTAAAGTTGGAAAAATGATGCAAGAAAACTTTTGAAACATCACTTAACAATTATCCTAGATCACTAGGAAAGATATACAACTGAATATATATTTCAATATATATTAAATATCCTTACATCATTTCACAAAAGTCAGTAAAATGTAGAGATGCCAACTTTCTTTTCTATCATTTTTTTATTTTTAAAACAATGTTATTTTACATATGAATACCAGTTCCCTCTCCTTACTCTCCTCCCTCTTCTCTCACCTTTTCCCCACCCAACCACCATCCACTTAGAGAGAAAAAGAGTGAGGCCTCCCATGGGAAGTCAAGAAGTCCTTCACATCACTTGAGGCAGAACCAAGGTTCTTCCCACTTCACCCCTGGATCTAGGCTGAGCAAGATATCCATCCATAAGGAATGGGTCCCAGAAACCCAATTCATATACTAGGGATAAACACTGGCTCCACTGCTAGTGGCCCCATAAACCGCTCAAGTCATACAACTGTCACCGATATTCAGAGAGGAAAGATAGTTCAGTTATATGCCGGTTGCCTAACTGTCAGTCCAGAGTCACTGAGCTCCCACTTGCTCAGGTTAGCTATTTCTGTGGGTTTCCCCATCATAGTCTTGACCCCTTTGCTCATATTATCATTCCTCCCTCTGTATGACTGGATTCCAAGAGCTTAGCTCAGTGCTTATCGGGGGATCTCTGCTTCTGCTTGCAATAGTTACTACATGTATGTTTTATGATGATAATTAGGGTAGTTATAAATCTGATTACATGGGAAAGGCAGTTAAGGCATGCTCTCCACTATTGCTTAGATTAGTAGTTGGGGTCATCCTTGTAAGTTCCTGGGAATTTCTCTGCTGCTAGGTTTCTTGTTAACCCCATAATAACTTCCTCTATCAAGACATTTCTTTCCTTGCTCTTCCTTTCTGTCCATTTCCCAACTTGTCCTTCCTGATCCCTCAAGTTCTTCTCCACCCTCCCCTTTTCTTCTCCCCACTCCACTTCTACCCTTCACCCACCTCCCATGCTCCCAATTTACTCAAAAGATCTTGCCTATTGCACCTCCCTATGGGGATCCATGTATATTTCTTTTAGGGTCTTTCTTGCTTCTTGGCCTCTCTGAGATTGTGAACTGTAGGCTAGTTATCCTTAGCTTTATGTCTAATATCCACTTGTTAGTGAGTGCATACCATGTTTATCTTTCTGTATTAGGGTTACCACCCTAAGTATGGTGTTTTCTAGTTCCATTCATTTGACTGAAAATTTCAAAATGTCATTGTTTTTTATGACTGAGTAGTACTACATTGTGTAAATGTACCATATTTTCTTTATCTATTCTTCAGCTGAAGGATATCTAGGTTGTTTCCAGGTTCTGGCTATAAAGATAATGCTGCTATGAACATAGCTGAGCAAATGTCTTTTTGTATGAGTATACATCCTTTGAATATATGCCCAAGAGTAATATTGCTGAGTCTTGAGGTTGATGGATTCCCAGTTTTCTGAGAAACTGCCATACTGTTTTCTAAAGTGGCTGTACACGTTTTCACTCCCATCAGCAATGGAGTTCTCCTTACTCCATCGCCTCTCCAGCATAAGCTTTCATTAGTGTGTTTGATCTTAGTCATTCTTACTGATATAGGACAGTGTCTTACTGTCATTTTGATTTGCATTTCCCTGGTGGATGCTAAGCAATTCCTTAAGTGCCATTGGAACATGTGAAATTCCTCTGATGAGAATTATTTGTTCAGGTCTGTATTCCATTTTATAATTGGATTGTTTGGTATTTTGATGTGAGTTATTTGTATATTTTTTACATCAGTCCTCTGTCATATGTGGGGTTGGTGAAGATTTTTTCCATTCTATAGGTTGTCATTTTGTCTTATTGACTATGATCTTTTCATTACAGGAGTTTCTCTGTTTCAGGAGGTTCCATTTATAAAATGTTGATTTCAGTGCCTGTGCTACTGGTGTTAAATTCAGAAAGTGGTCTCCTGTGTCAGTGCATTCAAGGCTGCTTCCCACTTTTTCTTCTATGAGGTTCAGTGTAGCTTGATTTATGTTTAGGTCTTTGATACAGTTGAACTTGAGCTTTATGATGTTTCTGGCTATTATAAAGAATAATGTTTCTCTGATTCCTTTCTTAGCCAATTTATCATCTTTATAACAAAGGAAGGAGTCACATTCCAGAAGTGTGGTGCATGACATAAATGACTGAGTTTGTATAAATGAGCGAGTGCTCTCAACTGGAGAACTGTAAATATTATAAAATATTATATTCCATTTGCTATTTTAGCATTGATATAATTGGTATAATATTTTATTTTGAGATTTCCATATGGATTTCTGGGTTATACTTTTGCTTCTTGTATCAATTTCCTAAATTTGTAACAATCAGAAGCTGGAAAGACTAAAGGAGCAGGACTTTAGAGGCTGCATATCTGGGATAGCTGAGACTCATCTACAATGTACTTCTCTGTGTCTTTATGTACATTCCCCTTCCTGATTAGACGTACACCAGTCTAACTGGATTAGTTCATTTTAATAACCTCATCTTCATATTTTCTCTGCAAAGCCCAATTTATAAATGAGGTGTTTTCAAGGTATGAGAAATTTGGGTTCAACATATCTTCCAGAGAAACATATTTTAATGCATAAGCACTTTATCATTTTTTATGTTTCCTTTAATTCTTTAAAACATCATGGCCCAATAGAACAACTAAAAGTTTGGCCCAAGAGAGCAACTAAAAGTCTATTTCTGTAGTTAAAAGTCTTTTACCTATAGTCAGTTTAGTAATGTTTTCAACTACTTTTTTTTTCAAGGTTGGGCTTCTCTGTGTAACAGCCCTGTATGTCCTGGAAATTACTCTGTAGACAAGGTTGGTCACGAACACACAGAGATCTATTTACCTCACTTACCTCTGCCTCCCAAGTGCTGAGATTAACGGTGTGTGCCACCACTGCCTGGCTAGTTGCCTCATTCTTATGTTGGAAGTGTTTGCTTTTGCTTCTGTTTGTGTTGATAAGGTGTGTGTGTGTGTGTGTGTGTGTGTGTGTGTGTGAGAGAGAGAGAGAGAGAGAGAGAGAGAGAGAGAGAGAGAGAGAGAGAAAGTTCAGAGCTGGGGATCTACTATAAGTTTTCATCTTTTTTCTTTATTTTTTGATACTTTTTTTTAAAGTTTTCTACAAATATTTTAATCATATTCCCCCTCTCTCTCAACTCCTCAAAGATGTAACCCCCTTTCCAATGATTCCAACATTTTAAATTTTTCACCATCAAGAACACATTATTTGTCAAATATTTGTGGATAAGTGGTCATTCATGATAGCATGACTGACTTTCACCAAGTTACACACTTGGAATTAATTCTCCCAGGAGGTGTCAGTTTCTAAACTTCTTATGAAGGGGCTGAGGTTTCAGGCCCACGTACTCTTTCCATTCTAGGATTTGGTCTGACTTGGGTTTGTACTGGTCTTATGTATGTTGTCATTACTGCTATGAGCTCATTTGTGTAGCTGCATTGCTGTGTCCAGAAGACACTGTTTCCATCTTCTCTGTCTCTTACATTCTTTCTGCCTTCTTTTCTGCATGATATTTGGACATTCAAAGGAAGTGTGGTATATATGCTCTATTTAGGGCTGAGAACTCTGCAGCCTTTTTTGTCCACCTTGGCCACTTTTAGGTCTCTGTGCTAATCACTATCTACTTAAAATTGAAGCTTTAATTGTGAGGTTTGAGAAAGGTAATAATTTCTGGATATAATGATAAGTAATTGGTGATTATTTAATATTATGTTTGTTTAACAAAACACCAGCATTAGTTTCTTTCCATATCCTATGGCTAATCAATACATAGGCTCTTCATCTGAAAATGGCACCAGATATGTGTTTAATCTTGTGGAATGGGACTTAAGCCCAATTAGAAAAGTGGTGCTTATTCTCAGCATCTTTGTGCCAATATTTCACCTGCAGACATGATTTTACAAGTTTTATAATATTATAACTCACAGGGTTCATAGATTAATAAATTTTTCTTCTTCAGTAAAGGAGACAACTTTCACCACTATGAAAACTATCCCAGTTGAGATGGCAGATTAGTATGTATCAGTTTGATTTCGACATGTCCTATGACTCAGTGTAAGATATGTTCAGAAATATGTTCTCACTATCAAGTTATGGAGGGTAAATAAGAGAAATGACAATAAACAATAAGGTTTGGGGAAATATAGGGCCTCACAATCAAATAATACCAAAAGAATGAGTAACCCATTCTTGGCATTGAGCATGTTTATTCATTCATTCCTTTCTTTATTGTTCGTGTTTGGTAAAGTTGTCTCAGTGTGTATTCAAAATGAAATGTACATATCTGAAGAGTCAAAGCTAACATCAACAAATGAAAGACTATATACAATGATTGTCTTTTTTCTGTTTTATTCAACTCAGCATGACTGTTTACAGCTTTATCCATTTTCTTGTACAATTATCCTAATTTCTAGAAATAGTCAAGTTTTACAAACTTAAATCACAAATTAAAGTTCTAAATAAAGTAAAAATTATACTGTTATAGTGGCATAATCTGAATAAACATTACTGATTTGTATACATTTAACTCTTTTACTGATATCCATTTCTCATTATTT